AGGTAATTAATAATAATTATAAATTATAATTAATTAAATTTATTCTAATTAAATTAATCATAATTAATTAAATTAATTATAACTATTTAATTAAAACTAAATATAATTAATTATAATAACTATAGTTAATTAAAATAAACATAATTAAAATTAATTTTAATTAATTTTAATTAATCTAAATTAATTAAACTCCCTTTCTCTTTCTCTCGGTTAGGCTCGGCGGGTTCACTGGATTTGGCCGAAGAAGGCTAAATCCAGCCAACAGTTTTGGTGCGCGCGTTAAATCCCGGCGATGGCTAAACCCCGGATTAAGGATTTACGGCTTAATCCTGTATTTACTAAATCCCTTGGTTCGGCAGATTTACGGGATTTGGCCGAAGTAGCGCACGGGAGGGAGAGAATTACCTTCCCAGCTAGCGAGCTCCCTGTAGTTGCTTCCGATCAAATGTATTAACTTCCGATCCGACAGTGAATTGAAAGTCGTCGTCGGAGGGAGGTGGGGGTCGGCCGTGCGAGAGAAAGATCGGGATCTTCGGTCGGCACAGGTAAGGTTGGTTTCTCTCTCTCTCTCTCTCTCTCTCTCTCTCTCTCTCTCTCTCTCTGGATTGGTGGCTGGATGACTAAGAGGGGGTCGGTTAATGAGGGAGATCGGGATTTTGGTTGGAGGCTGGGAGGATTCCGGCTGCTGGGCTCGGGATTGAGGGGAGATCAGGAGGCAGTGGAGTGTCGTGGGAAGGGGTATCGGGAGAGGGCAGAGAGCGAGTGAGTGCCTGAATCCTTCTCTTGATCGGGTATTTAACGACGGGATCGAGCGGGATTTTCGCATACGGGAGAAAAGACGTGAGTTCGGCGCCGCTGCAGAGGGATGGCCAACTGTAGCAAAGCAGGATTTGCGATCATTTTGCCAGGATATCCGGCAGAGGTAATGTTTTTTGCATTTTTTTTTATTTCTTTTGTTTTGTTTCTGCTTGGCTGTAGATTATAGTTCAACAATAGGGTTGGCATCCAGATAGATTTGCTTACATACTGTGGATCTTTTTTTTTTTTTTTTTAATTATGTTGGACATTAATGTACAATTTTTTAAGGGAAAATTCTATAAGGTGTTAGTGAGACCTGCAAAAGTTTATGGTGCAAAATGTTGAAAATAGAAGCATAAAATTAAGTTAATTGTTGTATGACTGAGGATGCTCAGGTGGATGAGTGGCTTTACTCATAGAGATAGAATTCGAAACAAGCATATACGTGAAAAGGTTGTAGTTCTAGTGGTATAGAAGATTAGAGAGTCTCCTGAGATGGTTTGGTCACATAAAACGTCAGACTTCTAATGACCCAGTTAGGAGAGTAAATGTATTAGATTTAACCTATGTTAAAAAAGAGAATAGAAGACCTAAAAAGACTTGCAACAACAACAACAACATTAAGCATTTATCTCACTATGCGGGGTTAGCTAAATGAATATTTTTTCTCCATTATGCTTTGTTAAGAGTCAAATTCTCATTTAAATCTAATAAAGAAAGGTCATTTCTAATATTTTATAACAATCCTTTTTAGGTCTGCCTCTACCTTTCTTAACATAAGCTAAATCTAATACATCTACTCTCCTATCTGTATCATCAGAAGGTTGTCGTTTTATGTGACCAAACCATCTAAGACAACTCTCTCTAATCTTATAAGCCATTGGAGCTACTACAACCTTTTCATGTATATGCTCATTTTGTATCCTGTCTTGAAGAGTAATGTCACTCATTCACCTAAGCATCCTCATTTCTGCAACACTTAACTTAATATTATGCTTCTCTATTAATGACCAACATTCTACGCCATAAAGCATTGCAGGTCTCACTAATAAAATCATTTTTTTAATTTTCATCCTTAATGCACTTCACTTGAACTAAATCTTATTTCTTCTATCTCTTTGTTTGGCTAAAATTTTTTGCCCTCCTTAGTATCTAATTTATTATATAAATAATTAAATACTAAAATTTTTGCATCGCATATTGCTTTCTTAGACTCCTTTCGGACCTCTTTATATTTTTCTCAATTATTAAAATTTTTATTACAAATTTCTTATTTTTTAATCTTTTCTTGCTCATTTTAATTCCACCACCAACATTTTTTTTTTTTGAGCTTTTTCTTTTGATACTCCAAGTACATTCTTTGCAAAATTTTTAATATCTCTACCTACTTTTTTTAACATAACATTCTCATGCACGGGCAAAATCTTAAGATCTCAACTCTTACTTTCAAAAATATTTTATTTATGTACTTTAAATACCCCCATCTAATCTTAGAACAATGTTTTACTTTATTTTTCATATTTTGGCCATTCATCTTAAAATTCAAAAACTAATAAACAATGTTTGATATATAAACTTTCACTCAGAATAACTTTACAATCTTTACAATCTAAATGATATATTTTTCTTATAAGAAAACAATCAATTTTAGTATTACTATATCCATTCTTATTGGTGATGAGATGTTCATCTCTTTTCTTAAAAAATGTATTGGCAATTAAAAAAGCATAAGCTAAAACAATTACCACCTTCATTGATTGCTACAAACCTATAACCATCATGTATGTTTTTAAAATTATCTTCCTCTGCCAGTATGTTCATTTAAATCTCCTCCAATAAAAACTTTTTTCTTCAAGAGATATGATTTGTATTAATTCTTTTAAGTCATTTCAAAATTTTAATTTTGAACACACATCCAAACCTACTTGAGAAGTATAAGCACTTATAATATTAATAATCTTAGCATGAACAATAATCTTCAAAGCTATAATTTTATCTCTAACTCTATCAATTTTTACAACCAAATGTCATCCTGAGAGTTCTCGGGTGAGTCGTAGATTACGATCTTTATAATCATACTTAAATGAACCGAATTTCATCCGGGAACTCCTTGGGTGAGTCGTACACTATGATTTATGATCAAACTGTACGATCTGTAATCAATTTATATTCGGTTTGATTGCTTAATCAACTGACCTAATTAGACAATGATTTAAAAGATCATACAGTACGAATAAAATCCTACAGTACAAATAGTATAAATTTTAAAATTCAAAAATGCCAATTTAGATAAATTAGATTCAACAGCTAGATTTCTTGTTATAGCTGATCATTTTATTTGTGTTTTAATCAGTCCAGTTGTAACTAAATTTATAAACGTTTTGATTTGCATCGTCATTGGCATTTTCTTAAAAAGAAATATGCAATGTTATACTGGAAATTTCCTAGTAGCTTTAGTATCTATAGATTACAGAGGTTCCTTCGCAGTGGAAATGAACCCTTAGCGTTTTTCCCTACGTTTCTTTTCCACTTTGAAGTAGTTGGAAAATATTATTTATGTAATTTGCGAAAACATAACTACTAGTGACCATTCTGTTGATAATTTGCAAAGCATAACTACTTGTGACCATTCTGTAAAGAAATAATTTTTTTTTTTTTTTTGCCCTTATACCATCCTTCTTATAATTACGGTGCAAAAAACCTAAAATAGGTGGTGGTTTTATCTTTTATAGCTAAAAAAAATGTATTAAGTTCCCTCTCTTGTTGTCAATGCTCAGCTTTGCGGGGTTAGAGGAGGTGGAAGCGCTGCGGCTCAGTCACTCTTCTGGCAAGCTAAAAGTGGCCTCTCCTTCAGCTTCGCTTTTGAATCCACGAGAGAAAGGAATGCAGCAATAATGCTCGCAAGAAGATACGCTTTTGATTGTAATGTAAGTTCTGGCTGCACTAAAAGCTTATTTGGTCGTAGTAAGTGATGCTTTTTTCTGCTCATTTTGAAAATGAATAGATCCATTTTTGAGGGATTTTGAAGGTTCTTCTTTTGTTGAAAATTCTTATTGATTTCAAATCTCATCTAACCAAATAATGGAATCTAATAAACCTGTTATTTTTCAAAGAATGTATTCTAACTAAAAGCAAACAAATCAGATTGATAGCTTGTAATATTTTGGCTTCATTTGGGATGGTTTTCTTACTATTTTTAATTTTTTATTAGAAACTTGCTTTAAGAAGCAATAAGAAAACCGTCCCAAACAAAACCTTATTTGTGCTATAAAAAAAGTTTGTTATCCATTTTCAAATTGATAATTAGGTCTAGTGTGAATAATTTTAATAAATTACCATTTACTCCCTCATCAAGCTAACATGACTATCTTTGTTCGGTCCTGTTTGACTTCATAGTAGCTCAACTAATTTATATATATAACTAAAAATATGCAAATATATCTCTATACGGTCATGTATTCTATATACACACATATACGGTCATGTATTCGATAATCTAAACCCTAAACCTAAAATAGGCTTTATCTTCACGAACAACTCGTATTTGGCTCAGTAAATAAATGACTTACATAAAGTGAAATTTTTGACTCATTTGCTTAATGTGGCAAGCTGAGTGATTCTTCAGCTTTGTTTGGGACGGCTTTTTTATTGCTTCATAAAGCAGCTTTCTAGTAAAAAATTAAAACTTTTGTACTAAAAAGCTGCTTTTAGAAGCAATATAGAAGCCTTCAACTCACCAAGACATGCCGATTACACCCCTTCTTGAGCTTACTGGATGATTTTTAACAAGTTCTGATTGCACTGAGAGACATAATTTTTGTGTATAAAAAATTCCTTCAATTTCTTTTAATCTCTTTAGACTCCTTGCTCAATAATTAGATATATCTCACCTGAATTCTTAAATGCATGTGAAATCTGTTGTCAGATTGTGCTGGCTGGGCCAAATGATAGGTCTTCTGGTGCAGCTTAAGTGAAGCTTAACAGTAATACTCAGTTGCAAGCAGTGTGAATTCTGTAACTCTGTATGTATGATTGTATTGATGAAGTAGGCTTTGATTTAGTGAAGATTTGGTTGATTTGAGAGAAGAGTATTGATTGGTAAGAATGATAGTTTAGTTTGTATCTTAGCAGGTTCTGATTGTTTTGGTAGCAGAAAAAGTAGGCATGTTTTTTTAGTTGCCTTCACGAGTTTGTAATAATTTTTTTTTTCCGTTTAATGTTTGAGTATTCCTATAACTTGCTTGATTTATATATATATTTTTTATATATTAATGGGCATTTGTAGTTATCTTTTTGAAATGAATTATGGTTACCAACTCTTGATCTAGTGGCACACTAGAGATTTTCTCAATCATGAGTCATGGGAGGCAGATTTATAAGGTTAGTGATATTGTATTTGGCGTAGCTTATCTTGATCTGTTGGCTGGGAGTTTTGGCTATCGACTAAGAGATTTTGGGTTCAAAGCTTGTGTATGTGATGTGCGTGAGTTTGTCTTAATTGATTTAAATGACCCCTTCAAAAATATCATATTTTGATGGGCTTTGAAATTGCACAATAATGTATATATATATATATATATATATATATTATAATAAATTAATATTATTTAAATAATTTTTAATATTTATAATGCCATCAAGTTCAACCTCTGATTCAACTTCATAATTATTGAATTTAAAAACTTATTCTAGTTTTATCGTTAATTTATCAATATTTTTAATGTTTGAAATTTTATTTTGGATTTTTTTGTCTTTAGAAGTTTGTAGTAAGTAAAAATCTTTCTAATTTTTTTGAATCCAAATGTAAATTAAATTAGTTTGAAGGTGGTTTGAATATGGTTCAAACTTAGGGATTTCGCTTGATCGCTATGTGAAGGGGGGTGAGGCATAGGAGAAGGGATTTTGTGTATGGACTAATTAGGGGCTTGATGATTGGATTAATAGCAAGGAGAAGAGGAGTTTGAGATAAGAGTTCAAAGGGGATTAAGGCGAGGCTAATGAGGAGAAGGCTTCTATAATAGGATTTCATTAAGGATTTGTCAATGAGATTGAAGTTGTGTGAGGGGAATGTTTTCATATATAATGGCAACTAAATACGAGCTTCTTGTTGAGAATACGGGGCATTTGAGAAGAATTCTTTGCGATTGGAGCCGCTCATGCGATATAGGCGGCGTGTGAGGAGAAGATGGTTTCGTGATGGGAGCTTGTTGGAGTTTGCTGATATAATCAATTACATGTAAAAAGGAACCCTTGTTCAAACTAATTGTTTGAATCCTGCCCAAATTTGAGTATTATAATTTAAGGAAAAAATTATAATGTGTATTATGTTTTTAATATTTCTTCATCAAGTTAATTGTAACTAAAATTAATATGAATTTTAATCCTACGAATAGCTTAAATAAGATTTGTTTTCATAATTAAAAAAAGATAACGCCACTTGTAGAGAGAGAAAATTGTTGTCGGAGGTTCCACACTAATAGCTTCCGCAAGTGAACAAAACCGAAAAGGAAGAGATCCACCTCGAACACCTCTCCTGCTGCTTCTACCTTCTCCGTTCCTTCTCTCTCTGCAACCCCTTCCCCTTCCCCTTCTGCAAAATCCTTCCTTTCTTCTCCCTTACCCACCTCTGATCGCTTCTCAAGAAGACACGCATCGATCCCTGCGGAGATAGATAGAATAGAGGAATAGGAGAGATAACGGAGGAGGATGAGAGAAGAAGAAGAGCCCAACTGGTTTGCGCGATGGGAAGAGGAATTGCCCAGACCCGAGGAACTGATGCCGCTCTCCCAATCTCTAATCACCTCTGACCTCGCCCTGGCCTTCGACATCCCGACTCAAAACCCTAGCCCGGTGCCTGGCCTCCACCACCTGGGATCCACGGGAAATCAGCACTCGGCGTCTCCTCCACTTCCGGCGGATCTCGAATCCCCAGACCACTCCGCCCCCGTCGGTGAGGATTCGGCGCGTACCCTGAAGCGGCCGCGGTTGGTGTGGACGCCGCAGCTACACAAGCGATTCGTGGATGCAGTCGCGCATCTGGGGATCAAGAACGCCGTACCTAAGACGATAATGCAGCTTATGAGCGTCGATGGCCTCACCCGTGAGAACGTCGCTAGCCACCTGCAAAAGTACAGACTTTACCTCAAGCGCATGCAGGGCCTGAGCTCCTCCAATGCTGGTCCACCCGTGCCGATGTCAGCAGCTGATGCTGCCACTGAGCAGCTATTCGCCAGTAATCCGATCCCCCATCCACTTCTTGGCCGAGGCGCCTCGGCGCTCGGCCAAGAGTCTTTCATGCAGTTCATGGCTCCTCCGTTGCTGCAGCACCATCAACAGATGGTGGCGGCCGCCGCTGTCCAGCAACAGTACTATCATCAAAGACAAATGGGTCATTTTGGATCACTGGCGACTGGTGGTGGTGGGTATGATCATGGATTCCACACAAGAGGGGCACTGCCTCCGCAGGGATTGCATAGAATGGCAGCTTCTGGTTTAGGTATGGTGCGGCCATCTCTACCAGCTGCATCGAATTCTTACGACGATGATGATGATGTAGATTCAAGGGTGGGAGGAGGGAGAAGGGTTCTGACTCTTTTCCCCACTTGCGGTGAAGATTGAGTGGAGTATTCTTTTTCCGCCTTTGTTTTCTATTGCTTTGTGTAATTTAGATTGTCTAGAGTTGCGATATCTCCGACTTCAAGAAGTTTAAAGGATTTTAGAGAATTGGTTCGGTTGTATTAGGGAACTTTCCTCTTTTCGTTACATGTCTGCCAAAATACAATCCGTGCTCCCATTGTTGCTCATGCTCATGTTACTGGTCCATGTTCTTTTTAGCTGTATTTTCTGCGTAGTTTAATAGTGATTTCAGATTTAAGGCATCAATCGACTCCTAGTTCAAATCGTTATTAAACTTTGTATTTATGATCCTTCATCTACTGGAGTGTATCTCAGGGATTAGTTCCTTAAGCATTGTGGAGTAGGTAGGGGGGATCATCGAAGTTGGATTTTCAGGCCTAGTTTTTTTCACTTCCATTAACCTCTCATTATCTTTGCTTTTATCAGTGGCCGCTACTTTGAACGGGAATCAATTGTATTGGGTGTTGATGTAGGACAAACATAATCAGGTCGTAGTTTTGCAGCTGGATTATGATTATATTTCTACTATTAATTTATTTTTCGTCTTTATTTTAATTTTCATTGGCAATATGATCATCTAGGGAGTATGATTTTAGTGTTCTTTTGTAGGGCCTTTTATTATAAATATTGGTCCGGGGTCATATAAGTGCCCAACTATGATTGTTTGAACGATAATGATGTGTGATCTGTTTCTCATTACTCCAAGTTTGTGTGTTTGATTCTTCTTCTTTCATCTTCCTCCTTTCTCTTCTTCTTCAAGGCTTCTACAAATCATCCACTGCATCTATTCATATCAATTGCTATTAAGTATTAACAACTCAATTTTTCTCTGGGAATCATCTTTAACAAATTATCAAGATGATGGTTAGCTTAATCATGAAGATTAATGTTAAGGAAACAATGAAGTTTTCAATTGTTTGCTCATAGTTTCTATTTTTAAGTTGTTGGTCATCACAATGGATGCATTCCTATCTCAAATTCCCCCATGGATCATAATTAAGCCTAAATCAAATTCTAAACTCTAAACTAACCTTGAAACATGCTCGAAATCTCGTCTTCTAACATTATATGCCCTGCCCGCACAAACACACATATATTCACACTTATATTCCTTGTCATAAATTATGAGTTATTCGATCTCATTTTTGTTATTTGAGCACCCTATCACCTGCGCGCCCTCGCTTTCTTATTCTTCCCCCATTTTATATTAAAAAAATAACAAATTCACCAAGGAAAATTATGATTTATCAACCAACTTTTCGAGGGTTTTTTTTGTGCAAATATTTTTGACACAATTTTTTATGAGAAATTCATTTGATGATAGTGTCCTTAGAATGCCACTATCTTCTTTACTAGCGAAAATCTATCGATATTTAACAAACTTTTTGACAGGAATTTTACTTATTATTGGTGAAATTTCCCCTGAAATAATTACTACCAATGAATTTGATATGTTAGAAATTCATTGGTAGTTGGAATAAATTCTTGTATATGATGGAAATTATTTATGTCCTGAAACTTGGAATAAATTCTTGTAGTTGGAATAAACTCTACCTTCTCTCTTCTTTTTAGGGCGCTTGCTAGCTTGGAGCCAACCCTGCTTGTTGTTAGTATGGAGCTCCTCACAACAACTCACTTGTCAGCCTTGAACACCATTGCTAATTGTCTCAATCTCCCCTCCCTCGACTCTCACTCTTGATTATGATAAATGTTTGAGATCTAATCAATCGTGATCTCCCTTCGATGTCACTCGCAACTCACCAATTCTCCCTTGCTTCTGCTTCACGCCATCAGAGCTTCTCATAGCCATTTATTCCGGACATCAACGCCATTTGCTAACCAAAGCATATCCTTCTCACCTAAAGAATGCTGTCAAACTTGAAATCGTTCCCACTTACCTTTCACCTATCTCCAATTTTACCACTGTAGCAAACTCTCACTAATTGAGTTGCGTCCTCCTTTGACCTAAAAGTCATTGCCACTTTCCAAACGTTTATCCTAGCCATTGCTCCCATTTGTTCATCTTTGTTTACAAACTAACGCTATACCCCAATAGGATGTAATTATGGCCATATGTAACCTATATGCTATACTGCATACATGATATGGTTATTATTGAGATTGGAGGACTTTCACTCCGTTTGCATTTTTATGCATTATGAATGTTTTCTTTATGATCTTTATGTTTTATATGGTTATGGATGCTATATATGTCATACTATTTTATTATATTGTATTATATGACATTATATTATTCTACCAATGGACTGATCTTCCAAAAAATCAATTTGCAACGGATTTTTTTTTTGTTTGAAAGTATTTTTGATAGTGCTTTCATCGATGGATATAATTTTGTTAGAAAATAGAATTTCCACTGATTTGTTATCGCTTTGTCAACAGGAAATTAACTATTTATAGTAATTCCCTACTTTACTCTCATATTATTATATAAGCCTATATTTTCTTCTTTAAACAAAAACCTAATTTGTTAAGCACCACACTAATGCCATCCCAATGCAATATGCAAAATTCAGCTCTATCATTCATGAAATGGAAAACGCCTGATACCCACCTTTCTCTCTACTCTACACATTTCTTTCTCATTTCTCAATCTCTATTTATCGATGAGAAACAAACAATTATATTCTTAATTCCTCCTTTCCTATTGGCATCCCCCTCTCAACAAACCCCAAAAATCTCTAACAACACATTCACCAAACTCTTTCCTTCCTTATTGCCTTATTCTTAACTTCTCTCATTTTTTATATCCATTTCTTCCATTTCATAATACCTCTTCTCTGCAGTAACTAGAATCTCCTCTCTTTTAATGAGTTTCTCTCTTTATTAATCTCTTTTTATTTTATTATTATGCAATTCACTCTTCTTTATCTAGAACATAAAAACTCCACTTTATCCTTGTACCTTTTTTCTCTTTTGAAACTCTAAATTTTTATACTGACACAAACCTAGCTATTAATACTTAAACTTTAAATTTACCACAAAATCATTAGAAAATTAATATTACACTAAATAAAGATATATGGCATTAGAATTTCAATCCTGTTAAACTATCTAGTTTAGTCCTTGGACTTGGTCCACAATTACAAAATCTAATGACAATCAATCAAGTTAAGTATCTTGTTTAGTCTTTAGATTTGATTTGAATTATAAAAACCTAATAACAATCATTTTAGTTTAAGTATCAGCTTTAATCTTATGGATTATAGAAATCTAATGGCCATCAATCCAGCTTAAGCATTTGATTTAATCTTTGGACTTGTTTGGATTGCTAGAACCCAATGAATTTTTTTATTTGGTCTTTAAGATTGGGCTTGAGTTGCCAAAAGCTAATAAATTTCAATCAAGTTCAAGTCTGGTTTAGTCTTAAGGACCATGCTCGAGTTACTAAAACGAAACCAAATTTCAATAAGTTAATTCCAATTTTTAGTAGTAAGCTGAGCTTATAGTTTATTGGAATAATATCACTTTGTAGGGTTCATTGTTGAAAAATTATTGATGGTTCTGCAACAACAATTTGTCATCTACCTTGTGATTTTATTATATTGAGACATTAGCCACTCTCCCATGTTGATATCAGATGGGCTTATGATTTTTCATTTCCATGAATTTTTGAGGAGTTAACTCCTTATATACTTGTTAGCAATACTAAACATAAGCCAACTAGTTATAACTAATTTCTTGACTTAATTTTTGTGTTGTTTGCCCCAAATGTGGAATAGTTCCGATAATAACAAACTTTTTTTTTATTTATAGTCTAACACGCCTTTCCAATGTACGGAACAAGGATAGTACTAATGATTTAGGCGGGGTTTTGATAGGAAACACTTATAGAAATGAAAATTAACTTGGCTGAATTTGAATTTCATCAAGTTTCAAAATAAAAAATAAGAAGAATTTGGTGGAAGCACTAGCGAGAAACGATTATATTGATAATAGATGGAAGAAAAACAACAAGATACAATTGATCCTTAATTGGAGAGGAGGATCCAACTCTCTCAAATCTCTATATGCCGCTAGAGATCAAAAATAGTAAAGAACAACTAAATTCAGTAAAAAATTTGATACCCTAACCCTAGGAAAACAATCAACTTAAAGCAAACAATGATATGAAATCCCTAAAAAGCCCCTCATTTGAAAATTCCCTCCTAAACAAAATTAATGGTCTCTTACTAAACCCCGCCCAAAGGAGGCGGCATCTGCGGTATATATTGCTTCCGCCTCTGGTAGACCCGGATCGGTCTAGTGGTTGGTCTATCAATATCCTCCTCCCAAAAACCCACCTTGTCCATAAGGTGAAAAAACGGTACCCTTCCAAATTTCCTTGTCATCACAAACGGTGAGAACCTGAAAATTTCGATCCTTACACATGTGCCCCGGTGTATACCTCTCTTCACATATGAAATACAACCCCTTCGCCCTCTTCTCTTATAGCTCCATTTTTGTGAGTTGCTTGAAGTTTTTTCTCAGGTCTTTCTCCTATTGTATTCTTCTTTGCGGTCTCCTAAGAGTACCCGGTGTCTGCTCTTTAGATATAAAAAATGTGGTAGTCATCCTATACGAACCTTCTGAGCTGCTGCTCTAGTCCCTCTCTTTTGATGCCTCTGATCCTCCACTAACTAAGCTAACTCCATAGCCTCTCCCAAATCATGACCTCATTACTCTAACTGTCGTTCAAAGCTTTGGTTTGAACCCTTTCATAAAGTTTCCCTCCAGTACAGTCTCTAGAAGCTGGTCCAGCCGGATGGGCAGGTGCTCAAACTATTCACGGTATTCCACCACCATCCTCTCCTGCGTCAAGGCGAGGAACTGCTCATATCTATCTTCTTGTGGATGACTGAATTTTGACTTTTAACATCTGAAAGTTGAGCATGGAGATCTAAAATTTTAGATTTCAATCGTACTAACTCCCCTTCTAACACTTCTATCTTTCTTCCTACCATAGGTACCCGAATTTAGGTTGCAATAAGAAAAAAAAAACAACTTTGATGCGAATCGGCCCTCCAAACAGCAAAAACAATAAGATCATAGAGAAAAAACAGCAGAAATCTGCGAGGAAAACTTCTATCTCAGCCTAGGAAATTGATCTGTTACCAATTTGATAGGAAACACTTGTAGAAATCAAAATTAACTTGGTTGAATTTGAATTTCAGCAAGGTTCAAAATCAGAAATAAGAATAATTTGGTGGAAACACTAGCGAGAAACGATTATATTGATAATAGA